ATAGTATTTAGGTATCACATTTCATTAGCAGTTTTATATTGATTTCTTCACTTACCTTCATATTGTGACCCTTCCAGCATGTTATCATACATAAAACAATCTAACCGTTTTAAAAAATGCTTATTATTAAAATGTAACTTTTCAAAGTAATTCTAAGATATAATTCTTTATAGAAAGTTAAGAAACCAAATATCTGTGGGTATTTTTTGGGTCAAAGGGAATGGAGATATATTGGGGAGGCTTTTTTTTTTTTTGGTACATGTTTGTAATACATAATGATTACAACGGTTGTGGGGAGTTATACACGTACATGACACATCTTAACTTTTTTTAAAAATCTCCTTACCTTCCCCTTCCCTCTACCCTTCTATCTCTATCACTTAGTTCCCTTCCTTTTTCCAAAAAATTTCATCTCCCTCTTTCATATTATCTTTCTTTTATTTTGCTCATTAATTCATTTATACTTTGGGTTTCACATATGAGAGAAACCACGATATTTAGGCTTGTGTGTCTGATTTATTTCACTTACATTTCTAGTTTCAAGTTCCATCCATTTTCCTACAAATGAATCAAATTTATCATCTTTATGACAGAGTAGTACTCAACTGCATATAAATATCACCTTTTCTTTATTTTGGTCTTTAATTATACTTTGGTTTTTGACCAATCCACTTTAGTGATGTATCTCTTAGCTACAGTAACAAGCAAACAAGAGTAAATATGTGAAGTGTTCTTACTATTAGAGTGACAATTGTCAGATTTGTGCTTTGGAGGGATCTCATATAGAAGAGCAAGAATAGAGACAGAAAACTTTTGAAAAACTAAAGTGGTGTCACACAATTCACAGCATCTGAAGCCCAAAACCATAATTACCCACCCTAACACATTCTTCCCCTCCCTTATGTCTGTATTGCTGGTAATATCACCTGTATTCTTTCAGGATTAAATTCTTTTCCACATATTTCCCTCTTTACTTTTAAATTCAGACAGTTACTAAATTTTATTGCTTCTTAAAATTTTAAAAGATATAAATACTATATAATTATATGAACATGATAAAACAATGAACATAAATTCATGAAATAAATTTCCTATTATCCTTCTCAAACTCCTGACAATCTAACTGCGACCTCTTTAGGAAACACTATTCATAGACTAATACCCATCATTCTTTACCTTTTCCTGTGGATCCATATGTATTACATATCAATATGTATTGCGTTAAACGTATATGCATTTACAAGCACATCTTCCTATTTTAAAATAACAATGTAAGTTACATAATTTTCATATCATGTATTTTAAATACTTAATTTTAAAAATATACCATAGTATGTCTGTAACAGTTGATTTCAAAATTTTCACTATTGATAAATATATTTAATGTAAATGAAACTTCTAATTTTTCATTCACATCTTTATCTCCTAAAGATTTTGTTTAAATTTTCTCCTAACCAGCATTTGTAGGACAGAAGAAGTCTTCCATTTAACAAAATTAAATAAATAGTTCCAAGATAAGAACCAATAATATTGTTTTCTAAACTAAGAGTTCTGTAGAAATTTACAATGAATATTAAAGTATTGAAGATTAAGAGAGGCTCTCTGTAGAAGAAAATAATTAACTTGGTTAAAATGTACATATCCACAATTTTGTTAGACTGTAGACCTTTTTAAAAAATTCCACAGAACATCTGATAATATTTTATGGGGAAGTGTTAGCCGTGATGATTGTGCAATATTCTCAGAATGCTCCTCTTGAAGTATGAATATAAAGTCCACGGCACTTGTTTGGAGAACCAACAGTAATAAGAATTTTTTAAAAAGTCTCAGCTGTGGCATTCTCATATAATATACCATGAAGAGTAGCACATGTGAGAGGAAATTGCTCTATTGAAACTAAATATTTGCAATTCCACAGCATCTGCTCAACTCTTTCATAGCATGAGTACTACTTTTTTCCCTCTTCATACAGAATCTCTATCTCTGAGGCAGTTCTCATTTTTTGACAGCCATGTGAATTTGTGTGGTATTCGAATTACAGCTGTCTTGCAGAATGACTGCTAATCTATCTGAAAGGCATCCTCAAGTGATTTATGCATACACTATTCAGCTTGTATTCTAAATATCTCTATAAGTGTGCTGAGCTTTATCTAACTGTTGTGTTGTCACAAAGTAATATGCAAACAGGAAATTAGTTTTCTTTCTGTTAATTTCATCCCAGGCATGCCCATAAACATTCTATTTTTAACACTCCTTTTGCAATACCTAATAATCAAATATATTCAGATAGACCCTGTCTTTTTTCTTGGATATAAATGCCTATTATTTTTAAATGTGTGTTACCCTGGTTGGGTGATGGAACTGCCACCTGGGAAATTTTCATACCATGAATCACTCAAATCATACAACTAATTTCCTGTGGTAAAATTTCATTTTCTTCCAGATTCTTCTTTGTAAGTTGGCTTCTAATAGAGGTGTCCCTTGGGAAGTGAATGTTCCGGCACTGCCCACTGAGTCTTCTGTGTTTGGTTTAGTTTGAACCCATGTTTCATCTCTTCAGAGATAACCATCAGCCCCAGTTCAAGCATTTTCATAGCTCCCTACTCCTAGAATATCTAAATACAATTCTGCAGAATATTCACATAAGAAATTCTAAATCTGACATTTTGAACATAAAATATTTCTAGAGTTTACTGGACTGTGAGGATAACATAGTCATTCATTGAGTTTCCAATTATTTTTTCCATTTCAGCCTAAAACCATATGAGACACACAGGGTCTGGAAAAACCAGTTGTGTTCTTTACCTGAGGAAACAAGAGTTGACAGTGATGTAAATCCCAAACATTACACTCTGCACTAACCTTCTTCCTTCTCATAGCTTTCTACTGTAGGGCCTCTTGATCCCTGCTGCGTCCAGGGTTTTGGAGATGGAGGGAAGCCTATATGAAAGCCAAACAAGCAGCAGTTATTGACACATTGTATTCAGAAGGGACTGTCTTTTGGTCCATAGGAAGCAATTCAATTTGAGTCATTTCAACAAAGTTCTGGTTGGGTGCACAGTATATATAACAGACACATAGACTTTGAAATGTTAGGAAGCATCTGGACAACATCCTGTCCTTTCAGATCTAGATTTTGAGATCAGCCTAACTTTATAGTTATGGGGAAGCTTCATGACAGCCTTTGAGTAGGTATCTATGTCTGGAAGCCTGGTGTGAACCAAGCAAACCAAGTGTAACCTGAGTGCAGATTTCAGCGCATAGACCTAGAGGAAGCACAGAGACAGTGTCTCGGGATGACGCTGAATTACAAAATTCAGCAAGTCACCCTGAAATTCATCATTCTTAAGTGCTGTACAGAGAGAGTCAGGTAGAAAACCAATGAAATGTACTGAAAAGCTAAGGAGAGAAAACGTCTCCTCCACTTCCTCCCTTCCCCCTTTCTCCCTCCTCTTCCTCCTCTCTCTTTTCCTTCCCCCTCCCCCTTCCCTCACTTCCCCCCTCCTCTTCCTTTTCTTCTTCCAGTGGTACTGAAGATTGAATCCAATGCTTCATGCATGCTAGGCAAATACTCTACCACTGAGGTATATGCTCAACCCTTTTTATTTTATTTTGAGAGAGGATCTTGCTAAATTGCCCACGCTGGCCCCAAACTTGTCACCTTCCTCCCTCAGGTTCCCAGCTAGCTGAGATTATAGGTGTGCACCATTACACTCGGGGCTGGAAAGTTTCTTCTGTTAACAAGGAGGTAGTTTTAAAACATCCATTTCACATTGTAATATCACCTTCTTATCTGCAGAGGACTTGTCCCAATGCCCACAGTATGTGTGAAACTGCAGATGATACCAAAATATATATGATACCAAAATATATATAATTTTTTCATATATGTATCGCAGTGTAGCCACATAGTACCAGAATTAATCTGTCCATCTGTGTTTCATGCTCTTTCTGTGGTACATCATTTGCATCTCACCTTTTGCTTTCTGGGACCAGTATTAAGTAAGATAAGGATTACTTGAAGAAATCACTGTGATAGGGATAAACAAGAGGACACACAGGCAGGTAGTACACATAATGTACATACCCTGAACAATGGGAGGTGTCATATCCTGAGCAGACCAGAAGGGGCTGGCACAGGATTTCACCACACTATTCAGAACAACACACAAGTTAAAACTTCTGAGTTGCTTGTTTCTGGAATTTTCATTTTTATATTTTCAGACTGCAGTTACTGCGGTTACTGAAACTGCAAAAAGTGAGACTGTAGATAAGGGAGGGGTCTAGAATATATAATGCATGCCTGGAATAATTTGCAACCAACCATATAAATTATTTGGCATAAATTCTCTTTTTCAGGATAAAGCATTACTCAATGCAGATAAAGCTCCCAGGTTTACCTCTCTGCTTACATGTCTCTTTGTCCCCAGAGGTAAACATGACCTTGAACTTTTCATGAATTTATCTAAACTTTTACTACAAATGTGTCTTCATAATTAAATATAATATTTTTACACATTACATTCTTCATTCTGCATGTTTTTTTTCTGCAACTTAATTTTTTCATTGAGCATTTTTTGTGAGATATACATAGGTTGATACATAACAGTTTCACCAGCAGTGCTCTTCCTGCTGTAGTCCTACTTGTGGGGAGAGAAAGGAAGAAGGATGGAGCTGCACAGGGCACTGACCTGTCCACTTAACTGTCCCAAGGTGGTGACCCAGTTCATATGTGAGAGGTGATTGCATCTGGCTGGCAGAGGAAGCTAATTATAAAGGAGAAAACTGAATTTGTGTAGAGAACCTGGAATGGACTCAATATAAATATTAGCTCATGATTTATAAAAACATGAAACAAATATTTGATGAATGCATGCTTACTGATTTAAAAAAGTTTTTCAGTTAGATGCATCAATATTTCAAAAATTAGAGAGTTTTACAAGTGCTATGGGAAACAACATGATTAATTTTCCTCTTCTTCGTTTTCTTTACCTTTTCAGTGCTTTCTACATTCTGCCACAGGACGTATGATTTCTGTCCTGTAGCTTTATGGAGGATTGAAGTGGAGCATCATTAGTGGAGCTCAGTTGCTGCCTGACTGGACATCACAGCAAAGACTTTGGCAATCTTTTCCAGTTAAAACAGTAATGACTGTTTTGGAATGCAATCTCAGCAAAGCATGTTTTCTGTGTAGCCTGAAAGAATACCTAGCTACCATCAGCAGTTCTGCAGAGGCCTTCTAAAAAGCACTGTACCTGAACAATTGAGTGACTCTGAGTTGGTCAGGGGGAATTTTAACAATTGTACATATCAGTCCACTTTCTGGAAGATTCAATTACTGCTGCTCAGAGCTGCTGCTGAAATATCATGTCCAAGACCTCAGAATTCATCAATCTCTCATTTTTATTAGATCATGAAAAGGAAATGATCCTGGGAGTCCTTAAGAGAGATGAATATCTGAAAAAAGTGGAGGAAAAGAGAATAAGGTAATGTTCTTTTATTGTTTCAGCCTTCCTTGACTGCTTTCTGTTTATTCGAAGCAATTAAGATCAGGAATGGGGCAAACGGGACAGCACTAGAGACAGATGTTGGTCAGGTACTGGTTTCCAGAAACACCCCAAAATTAAAAAGTACCTTTGGCACTTCTCCCCTTAGCCAGGTAGTAGTATGGAACTGTGTTAATAATACAGTGTTGATGAGAGCATTCACATGTTAATAGCATCGTAGTAGTTAAGAAGAGCTACCCAAATTTGAATACCAACTCTTATGTGTATTAGTTGCATAACTCTAAGTAATTTTAGTTTGCGTGTGGACTCTCCTAAAGGTCCATGTGTGAAAGGCTGGATTCTCAGCTTGCAGTGTTGATGGGAGGTGGTGAAATCTTTAAAAGGTTGAATGATTGAGAGGTTTTAGGACTCTTGGGGTGTGTGCTTATGGGATTTTGAAGGCCAGTCCCTGCCTCTTGTTTGCTTTCTGGCCACCATGAAGTGAGTAGCCTGTTCTGCCACATGCTCAGACCATGATGTACTGTGCCGCCACAAGCCCAAAGCAATATGGACAAGTATCCATGGACTAAAAACTCTGAGATCTTGAGCCAAAATACAATCTTCCTATTTTTAAGTTGATGATATCAGGTATTTTGTTACAGTGATGGAAAACTAACACATTACTCAAATTTTCCATGCCTTGGTTTCCTCATGGGTAAATCAGGACTAATAATAGTACCTACCTCATAAGATTAGTGTAAGGATTACAGAAGATACTGCATGTGCAATGCCTAGCACCTAAGTGTCAAAAATGTTAGCTATTATTGATTTGGAATGTCTTTCTCAGGTCAGTCTTACTGGAGATTTGCTAGGAGAAGAAGAAAGAAATCTGGGAAGTGAAAGGTTCCCATGGTATTCTCAAATCACTTGAATTTCTTTTTCTTTGTTTTTTTTTTTTTTTTTTTTGGTCTTTTTGAGACAGGGTCTCGCTATGCAGTTCAGGCGGGCCTTGAGCTCACTTTGTAGCCCAGGCTGGCCTTGAAACGATCCTCCTGCCTCAGCCTCTCGAGTGCTCGGATTACAGGCCTGCACCACCACGCACAGCCCAAAAATACTTTTCTCTCTTTCTTTCTTTCTTTCTTTCTTTCTTTCTTTCTTTCTTTTTTTTTTGCAGTACCAGGGATCAAACTTATGACCTTGAGCTTGCCAGGCAGGCACTTGTGCCACTGAGCTATATCCCCAGCCTTGAATTTCTTGAAATAAGAGTCTGTGTGAGGAAAGTTGGGTAATCAGGGCACAGTTGAGTTTCATATCTGTTTTAGGTAGCGCTAATATTTAGCAGGTTCCGTGGGCATGAGCTCAGCTATATTTTACCCAGTGCCCATTCTGATTGGTTGAATGATATGTTTTCAGTTGTTACATGGTCAATCTGATTGGCTGCAACACTGTGATTGTTTACATTCTGTACTGACCTAGTTAGTAAATACATTGGTTATTACATCTCACCCCTGAAGAAAACATACACGTATAAATACATAGAAAGAGAGTTCCCTCCTTGGTCACAGTCAGCTGTGAAGTTTGTAGCTTTTATATTTTGTCTGGCTCTCCAAACTATAATCTGAATCTTACGTTTTTTTTATTTATTTTATCTTTTGGTTCTGTGGGTGGGATTCAGGGCCTTGTGCATGACAAGCAAATGCTATACCACTGACCCACACCCCAGCCCATGGCAGGTATACTTATTTTACTTGAGCAGAAAACTTATCATAATATTATCTTTATATGTCCCAAAATATTCAATACCCCTAAAGCAACTAGGATCCTGAAAATTGGGCCTATCCTGAAAAATTATTGATTGATCTTTATTTCCTTGTTAAGAGACCAGATTTCCTTTCTACTATTCTAAGCTATTCAGATAATCTTGAGGAAATAAAGGCTTTGATCAAAATGATTGCCTTTTTCTACAACTAAAATTCAGGTGGCAACAAGTTTCAGTGAATCCTTTTAAAGAAATCAGAAATGATATTTTAATGGGGCTGGGGATTTAGCTCAGCAGCAAAAGCGCCTGCTTGGCAAGCGCAAGGTCATGAGTTCGGTTCCCGGTACGGGAGAAAAATCAAAAAAAAAAAAAAAAAAAAAAAAAAAAGAAATGATATTTTCAGGATTAGTGATCCAGTCATGAGAGTAACTAAATTTTCTAATGTGCTGCCTGAAGTCATATTGTTTATGGAGGATGATATGTTAACTACTTACTGAGAACACTCTCAGGGAACTTAAAAATCACTTCATTTAGGAAGAAATAATTTTATGAACAAATCCCAGGAAAAATGGAAGTATAATTAATGAATACAATTTGTTCATGATATTCACTTCTGTCATCATCTGTAACTTTTTGAAATAATCTATTATATTCCCTTTTCCTTTTACCATTCAATTTTTCCTTTGTCTCTTTATTCTCTAAATAAATGAATTCAGCCAAATCATGTAAAATATCACAGACCTGTCAAGAGTAAAATCACTGATTTTCTAGCATTTAAAACTTTCTTGGTAGTAGCAGAACAAATGTGACTAGTATCAATTGTCTCACATGACTGTTAGATGTGTTCTCACTTTGTTATGAGCTCCCAAAATAGGAGCTCAGGCTGAATGACTCAGCTCTGGCCAATCTTAGAAGCTCCCTGCATAGAGAAGTCATGGCAAAGTGGGCAGCATCATGTCTAGGACACATGCTCTTGAATTGCACATCCAGAATTAGAATCTTAGTTGCACCATGAAACCTTTAGGTCCTGCTCATGTTGTTTTAGTTTTTTACAATATTGGGGATTGAAGCCAAGGCCTTTTCACTGAGTGACATTCCCCATGCTGTTTATTTTTCAGTTTGACACAGGATCTTACTAACTTGCTAAATTGTCCAGGCTGGGCTCAAACTTGTGATTTTCCTGCCTCTGCCTCCAAAGAGTACTGGAATTATAGGCACATACCACCACATGTAGCTCCTTAGGTCACTTTAGACAAGATATTTCTGTAGACAAATCCCACTTCCTCATTTGACAAAATAGAAATAATATTAGCTGCTTCATAAAATTGTTGTTGGAATTAAGTGAGCTAATACAAAAAGCTTAGAACAGTGCTGCCAAGAAAGTCAGCATTTAATTAGTGGCAGACTATCATCATTATTCTTAACAGTGCTGCATTCAGATCTCCTGGGGTCCTTTTGTTAGAGATGTGCTCTCTTCTCCCAGTTTTCTTATACGTGACTTCCAAGGACTTGTACCTTCTGTCCTTATTCAAGAATTGCCTTTGGGTGACTATAGTTTCCCCTAGGATTAGAAATCCACAAATGCCAGGTAAACTTGAGTTTAAACTTGGAAGTCCAAAGCTGACAGGTACATAACCCCCGGCTTTAAGACAGGACACAGTCTACAATGCAATTAATGCTTCAGAACTTTCTACAGGATCATACTGAATTTGGATATCACCTAACAATCACACCGTTGATTAGCTCCTCCCCTGCCTTCTCCTGCCACCCCTGCTCCCTTATAAATTTCTCCTGAGAGCACGCCATAGATCACTTGCACACAAAAGTACATCTCATAGAATGGAGTATTACTCAGCCATAAAGAAGGATAAAATTGAGACATTCTTACCTAACTCGATGGATCTTGAGACCATAATCATAAGTGAAATAAATCGGAAACACGGGGCTGGGGATTTAGCTCAGCGGCAAAAGCGCCTGCCTGGCAAGCGCAAGGTCGTGAGTTCAGTTCCCGGTACCG